AACCTAAAAGGAGAAAAGGAAAGAAGCCTGACTCAGGGGCTTCCCAGATGGCCGAGAGGCAACTGTTCAGATGAGGACTGACGGGACCCAGGGTCTCCAGAGATTTTGAGTCACCCTATTGTAATATTCCCACAGGATATCCATTGAAGTGACAAATTGTGCTTTCTATAGCCTTTAGAATTTTAGGAAGTCAAATTCTCAAACACAGTTTCTTATATATGACTGAGTGTTCAATACCTCTTTTGGAATGAGATCTGTTGTATAAATTAAATGCTCAAATTACTTTTTCTCCTGGTCAACTGGACATTCAAGTCCCCCCAGAACATTCTTTGAGATTGCAGATGTCCTTGTTGGCCCTCTGAGAATCAGACACTGAACTGTTGCCTCCTGACCTCTACGACCAGGTGAGGCCTGAAGTGTGGGCAGACAGGCACCCTGGAAAGGCCAAGAACACAGTGCCAGTGGAAAGTCCTCTCAAGCACGTGAAGGCCAAACTTAATCTCAAACAGTATCTATTAAAGCAGGAGGCCCAGAAGGGAATACAACCCATTTTAAAAAGATTTTTACTGGCAGGACATATTTGGCTATGCCAGTTGCCTTATAATACTCCTATACTGTCAGTAAACAAGCCTAACTCTGATGAGTGTAGGCTTGTTCAGGACTTGCGGGCCATCAATGAGATCGTGCAGGACCTGCACCCAGTAGTGCCCAACCCATATACTTTATTAACTAACGTACCAGGGCATTATGAATGCTTTACTCTCCTGGATCTGAAGGATGCCTTTTTCTGTGTTCCTCTGGCTAAAGGAGCCCAGCTACTGTTTGCCTTTAAATGGCAAGACCCAGACACTCAGAGCACACAACAATATTGTTGGACTGCACTCCTTCAAGGTTTTAAAAATTCCCCCACTATATTTGGGGAATTATTAGCAAAAGACTGAAGAGGGCTCAAATTAGATAATTGACTTTTGCTACAATATGTTGGTGACCTCTCTTGCAAGCCCCACTTACAAATTTTACCTACAGAATACCATAAAAACCATTAATTTTTTGTCAGACTGTAGATACAATGTTTCTTTAAAAAATGCCCAAATATGTTAACAAAAGTTGATGTATTCAGGTCTTATAATTTCTAAAGGACAAAGAAAGTTACGGCCAGATTGAATAGGGCTATAGCATTCTTCCCAGAAGACCTGGCATCAATTGAAGGGTTTTTTTGGGCATGGCAGGTTTTTGCCGCATTTAACTTCCAGATTATGCCTTAATTATTGAACCCTTGTATGAGGCTATAAAAGGGCTGGATTCAGAACCTTTAGAATGGACCAAGGAATGCCAATTGGCTTTTGATGATATAAAGGCTAAGCTGATATCAGCCCCTGCTTTGGGCCTTCCTGACCTTGAAAATCCATTTAGCCCCCATATACATGAGAGACAAGGCATCATCGTAGCAGTAGTAACACAACGCTTGGGAAATACCTCCAGGTCAGTGGCATGTTTTTCAAAGCAACTGAAACAGATTGCTAAGGCATGGCCACCTCACCTCTGGGCAGTGGCGACTAACTGTGATATTCTCCAGGAAGCTGAAAAATTTACCATTGGCCAAATCACCACCACGCATGCACCACATCATGTACTTACCTTGCTTGAACCACTGATTGACAGCTGGAGGGAGGGGAAAATTTCAAAACACCCTCCTGGATAACCCAAATGTGAGGTTACAGGTGACCATTCCTTTAAATACTGCTACCCTGATGCCTAATGAGACAGCACAACCACTGGAACCTGATTGTCTACAGGTGATGAATATGGTTTATGCTAGCTACTCTGTCTTGAGTGACCTATCCCTGGTGGATGCTGGCACAGAGCTTTTCATTGAAGGAATCAGCTTTATGGATCAAGGCAAGTGGCAAAGCAGGATGTACCATAGTGACATAACAGAAAACTGGTAGCTCAAGCCTTGTCACCTAGCATTTCTGCCCAAAGGGCGAAACTGATTGCTTTAACTAGGGCACTTCTATTATCAAAAGACAAATGTCTTTGGGGGCTGGCCCCGTGGCCGAGTGGTTAAGTTCGCACGCTCCGCTACAGGCGGCCAGTGCTTCGTTAGTTCGAATCCTGGGCGCGGACATGGCACTGCTCATCAGACCACGCTGAGGCAGCGTCCCACATGCCACAACTAGAAGGACCCACAACGAAGAATACACAACTATGTACCGGGGGGCTTTGAGGAGAAAAAGGAAAAAATAAAATCTTTAAAAAAAAAAAGACAAATGTCTTTAAAGACTCCCCGTACTCCTTTACAGTAGTAAATACCTATGGTGCCATCTGGAAGGGGAGGGGGCTCCTTACTACAGACAACAAGGACATTAAATACATGTCAGAAATTTTATGGTTACTTGAAGCAATCCACTCGCTTTCCAATGTAGCTGTTGTACACTTCCCTGGACATCAAAAGGGGGAAGCCCCTTTAGCAAAAGGAAACAGGCTGGCAGACCAGGTGGCAAAATGGGCAGCCAGGGTAGACATTGTGACTTTTCTTGCCTCTTTACTTCCCAAAGTTGACATATCAGAATACAAACCTATTTATTCCCCCAAGGACATGGAATGAGTTGAAGAGTGGGGATTGCTCTCAAAACACCCTTCAAGGTAGAAATATAACAAGCAAGGACAAATTTTGATCCCTGAAAAATTATTATACCACATCCTCAGGCACCTACATGAAAGCACTCATTACAGGCAGGATGCCACTGTACGGTAGACCAAAAGATATCTGATTGCCATACTTACAAAAGACCATTGAGCAGGTAATAAAGATCTGCCATGTTTGTGCCTAGAGTAACCCAAAACTGGTATCAGCACTGGACCCTATGGGGAGTCGAATGCTAGGGCTGATGGCCAATTAAAGATTGACTACTGGACTTTACTCAAATGCCATGGGTTTCTGGAAATTTCAAATACCTCCTTGTCTTTGTTTATACCTTTTCAGGATGGGTTGAGACCTTCCCAACCTGGACAGAAAAGGTCTCCGATGTAGTCTGGACTCTATTAAAAGACATTATACCTAGGTTGGGACTTCTGAATACCCCACAGAGTGACAATTGGCCAGGCCTCATATCTAAGATTACACAACAGGTGTCCCGGATTCTCAAGATACAAGGGAACCATCATACTGCTTGGAGACCTCAATCCACTGGACAAAAATGAGAAAATGAACCACACCCTAAGAATACCATAGCCAAAATGTGCCAGGAAACACACTTGACACAGGACAAAGTACTGCCTTTTGCCCTGCTCCAGGTCTGGGTCACTCCTTGAAGTGGGCTTGGGTTAAGCCCTTATGAGATTTTACATGGTTGGCCATTCCTTGTTTCCACCATGCCCTCTGTATTCCCTACTGTTTTACAAGATGTGCTAATAAAATCATATTTAAAGTCACTTAATTCTGTACTAGTGACGGTACATGAGTATGATTTTTCCAGATTAAAACACGCTCCAGACACAGCGGTGCACTCTTTCAAACCCGGAGATCATTGATTTTAAAGAGGTGGAGGGAACAAGGACCAAAGGACCAACTGTCTGTTAAGCGCTGACAACAGAAATTGTTGTTAAATTGGCTAGAGTCAAACCGTGGGTACATGATTCCCAAATTAAGCTGTCACCCACCTCATTGGAAAGTAACCCTTTTGTCACTAACACTGATTGGAAAATTGAACCCTTAGAAAATTTAAAATATGTCTTTAAAAGAAACGTTTAGATTATGGAGCTACACCCTTTTCCTGATGATGAGTCTAGCCTGGCAAGATAATGCCTTAGTTAGAATAACCGAGACCTTATCCACTGCTACCAAAGTAACCAATTGCTGGGTTTGTCATCCCAAGCCTCAGTTGGTGCATGATCCTGGAGATCCATTAGTGTGCCCTACATACGATCTGTCAGGACTCACCTCTGTCTGGAGGCATGATACTAATGAAAACCCAAGAGTTGTGTACCCTCCTAGGCTTGCATGATTCTCTCCAGAGGTGACACGTACTCCCCCATGCTTTTCTATCCCAGCGAAAACAGACGCAAACAAAACTAGTTACATCATGACCCAATACTGGGAAAAACTCTGCCCTTTTGCAGTCAGGAACCTGTCATAGTACCTGCAACAGATGATTTATTAGATTATCCAGTCAATACTTGGGGAGAAAATGCAGGCATTTGGATTAGTGAAACTAACCACCATATGTATTGCCCACCTGAGGGATATATATTCATATCCAGTAATGATGGAGTATCTTGGGCATGTAATTGCTTATGGAATCCCACTGATTCAGCACAGTGTTTATTGTGCACCTTAATAACTACTTTTACTCTACACCCTGCAGAAGAAACTAAACACTGGACTAGTTCTTTAAAGTTATTTTCTCTACTAGAAGGAGATCTCCCTGGAGGAATACCAGATGGAGATGCATACTTCTTTGGTTGTAGCCCATCAACATGTTCGAAATCTGTCCTATACTCTCATAGCTAACAAAACTGCTAAATCTCTTGCTAACTTACAAAAGTTTCTTGATTACCTGGCGAAAATGCTGTTAGATAATAAGATTGCTTGGCCTAACAGGGGGATAATTGTGTAATTGCTGATACACCCTGCTTTTCAAACATCAACATATCCTCCCAAGTGGAAACCAGTATTAAAATCAGAGAATAGGCTACTTGGCTCCAATGGATGCTGGACCATCAAACCCCATTCTTGCCAGGATTCGGAGACTAGTTTACTAATCTGTTCTACTGGATATCTAATAAAATTAAATCTGTGTTAATAGGCTTAATTAAAGGAGGACTAGTTTTCCTAGTAATCAGTTTAATATTATTCCTTATAATTAAATTGGGAATCAAATGTGTTTCTAAACTACTCTCTAAACTGTATCAATGACTCAACAACTCCCTCTCTGAAGTCACAAAGGGCCTCCAACCCACTTTGAGACACAAGTGTCTCTGTTTTATTTGATGGTCCCCCTACACTGACTCCACTCAGCAGGAAGTAGCAAGACAGACAATGACTACCCTGATCCCATTACCAACATACGATTCTGCTGGGTTACAACTGACAGCAGGGAATTCTTGGTGCCACTCATGTAAGCAGTAATCTTTACTATATATGTTAAAGCTTTTGTTCTTATTATCTTTAAACTAAATCAGTATATAGGGCATTGAACAGGTCTCTGATGCACGTTCAGGCTCTTGAAAACAGGAACATTGATCACAGGGGAGGAAAAACAGAAGATTATTGGGAAGTTAGACCAGACCTTGACGGCCCACCTGGAGACCAGATGTCTGAACAAACTGCATTCCAAAAATAGTTTGATGCATGCCTGCACATGCTCTCCCCTATATAACTTGCCTGTAGTCTTTGTTCTGGGAAGATGGGTTTTGAGGATGCTGGTACACCATCTTCTGTTTTTGCTTGCTATCATGAATAAACCCTTTCTATTCCACTGACTTGCCTCCTGACTTATTGGTTAGTCTCATGGCAAGCAGAACAAGTCCATTGCTTGGTAACAATACTATCAAGACACAAAGTGAGAAAGAGGAAAATAGCTCACACAAAAACAATTTTTCCTATTTTTTGTCCTTTTTTTGAGAAAGATTAGTCCTGAGCTAACATCTGCTGCCAATCCTCCTCTTTTTGCTGAGGAAGACTGGCCCTGAGCTAACGTCCATGCCCATCTTCCTCTCGTTTATATGTGGGACGCCTGCCACAGCATAGCTTGTCAAGCCATGCCATGTCTGCACCCAAGATCCAAACTGGCTAACCCTGGGCCACTAAAGTGGAACGTGCAACTTAAAAGCTGCACCACCAGGCCAGCCCCAAAAGAATTTTAACAAAAAGTAAATAACTATCTTTCGCTAATATTTTTGAAGATGTAGATATCTACTGATTTAAGGTGCTTGGTTTACTGCGGGATTTTGATGACTAGGTTCACTTTGTGAACTTAGGAGGTGCCTCACTGCCATTTTCTGGAGGGAGTCTCCAAGGAAAAACACAGGCCTGAAGAACGAAAAGGAGGACAAGGACCCCTTGGTCAGGACACAGGCTGAGACAGCTGTACCCAGGCTTCTTAGGGAACTGAGGAATAGATCACATCCTCTAGCCAGGAACTCTCCTTTTAGATCCATGGGAAATGTGGGTGAGGGATGGAGGAGGAGAAAGATCTTGGCAGCTAAGGGGAGTGTCTGAGCAGAGAGGCAGGGAACCCTCCTGTCCAGAGGAAGCAACACGCTCTACAGATAGACAAGGGAACAATGCTCACTGACAAATGCTCCCCCTTAATCATTAAGTGCCTGAGGATCCAGTTGGAAGCTCAAGATTAATTGTTATTTATGTGATTATTTTCAGTCTGCAACCTTCTGACTGGAAATCATGAGAATTCCTTCAGACACCTTACCATTCAAGCAATGATCATGAGATTTTATTTCCAGGGACAAAATTTGTCTCAGGGAAGATTAAATCATTCTTTCCACTTGCCCTCAAGATCTTTGAATCACTTTTTGTAGGTCTCCAGCTCTTAATTTTCACAGTTCATAGGCCATTAGCTTCAGAACTTTCTAGACAACTAAACATATATCACACCTTCTTAACCCATTCTTCCACTGCTGGACACTTAGGTTGTTTCCAGATTCTGCCTGTTGTGAATAAGACTGCAATAAACATAAGAGTGTAGGTATCTCTACAATATCCTGTTTTCATTTATTTTGCGTATAAACCCAGAAGTTAAGTGCTGGATAATATGGTAGTTCTATTTTTAGTTTTTTGAGGGAGATCCATAATGTTCTCCATAGTGGCCGCACCAATTTACATTCCCACCAACAGTGCACAAGCATTCCCTTTCCTCCACATCCTTGCCAACACTTATCTCTTGCTTTTTGGATGATAGCCGTTCTATCAAGTGTGAGGTGATATCTCATTGTAGATTTGATTTGCCTTTCCCTAATGATTATGGATGTTGAGCATCTTTTCATGTAGCTATGGTTGTTTTTATGTCTTCTTTTGAAAAGAAATATCTACTCAATTCTTCTGCCCATTTAAAAAATTATTTTATTGAAGTCATGATAGTTTATAAAGTTGTGACATTTCAGTTGTACATTATTATTTGTCAGTTGCCATTTAAATGTGCCCCTTTACCCCTTATGCCCACTCCCCAAACTCATCCCCCTTTGGTAAGTGCTAATCTGTTGTTCTTGTCCATGTCTTTGTTTATCTTCCACATATGAGTGAAATCATGTGGTGCTTGTCTTTCTCTGACATTTCGATTAACATAATATCCTCAATGTCCATGCATGTTGCTTCAAATGGGACAATTTTGTCTTTTTTGTGGCCGAGTAGTATTCCATTGTGTATATATACACCACATCTTCTTTATACAGTCATCAGTTGATGGGCTTTTGGGTTGCTTCCATGTCTTGGCTATTGTGAATAACGTTGCAATGAACATAGGGGTTCCTAAGTCTCTTTGAATTGTTGATTTCAAGTTCTTTGGATAAATTCCCAGTAGTGGGATAGCTGGGTCATATGATATTACTATTTTTAATTTTTTCAGAAATCTCCATAGTGTTTTCCATAGTGGCTGCATCAGTTTGCATTCCCACCAGTGGTGTATGAGGCTTCCTTTCTTCCCACATTCTTTCCAACACTTGATTTTTTTGTCTTGGTAATTATAGCCATTCTAACAGGTGTAAGGTGGCATCTCATTGCAGTTTTGATTTGCATTTCCCTAATGATTAGTGATGTTGAACAGCTTTTCATGTGTCTATTGGCCATGTGTATATATACTTTGGAAAAATGGCTGTTCATATTGTCTGCCTACTTTTTGATTGGGTTGCTTGTTTTTTTGTTGTTGAGTTGTGTGAATTCTTTGCATATTTTGGAGATTAACACCTTATTGGATATATGATTTGCAAATATTTTCTCCCTGTTGCTGGGTTGTCTTTTTGTTTTGCTCCTGATTTCCTTTGCCTTGCAGAAGCTCCTTAGTCTGATGAAGTCCCATTTGTTTATTTTTTCTTTTGTTTCTCTTGCCCGAGTAGACATGGTATTTGAAAATATCCTTCTAAGACTGATGTCAGAGTGTACAGCCTATATTTTCTTCTAGGAGTTTTATGGTTTCACATCTTGTCTTTAACCCATTTTGGGTTAACTTTTGTGTATGGCAAAATAAATTGTCTACTTTCATTCCTTTGCATGTGGCTGTCTAGTTTTCCCAACATCTTTTATGGGATAGACTTTCCTTTCTCCATTTTATGTTCCTTGCTCCTTTGTCGAAGATCAGCTATTTGTAGATGTATAGTTTTATTTCTGGGCTTTCAGTTCTGTTCCATTGACCTGTGTCTGTTTTTGTACCAGTACCATGTTGTTTTGACTACAATAGCTTTGTAGTATATTTTGAAGCCAGGGATTGTGATGCCTCCAGCTTTGTTCTTTTTTTCTTAGGACTGCTTTGGCTATTCAGGTTCTTCTGTTGCCTCATACAAATTTTAGAATTCTTTGTTCTGTTTCTGTGAAGAATGTCACTGGGATTCTGACTAGGATTGCATTTAATCTGTAGATTGTTTTAGGGAATATGGATATTTTAACTGTGTTTATTCTACCAATCCATCTTCATGGAATATCTTTCCATTTCTTTATGTCATCATCTATTTCTTCCAATAATGGGTGATAGTTTTCATTGGATAGGTCTTTCACCTCCTTGGTTAAATTTATTTCTAGATTTTTTGTTGCAATCGTAAATGGGAGTGTATTCTTGAATATTCTTTCTGTTAGTTTGTTATGAGAGTATGTAAATGTGACTTATTTTTGTAAGTTGATTTTGTACCCTGCCACTTTTCTGTAGTTGTTGATTACTTCAAGCAGTTTTCCAATGGATTCTTTAGGGTTTTCTATATTTAGGATCATACCATTTGCAAACAGTGAGAGTTTCACTTCTTTCTTGTCAATTTGGATAACTTTTATTTCTTTTTCTTGCCTAATTGCTCTGGCCAAACCCTCCAGTACTATGTTAAACAAGAGTGGTGAGAGTGGGCACCCTTGCCTTGTTCCTGCTCTCAGAGGGATTGCTTTGAGTTTTTCCCCATTGATTATGATGTTGGTTATGGGTTTGTCATATATGGCCTTTACTATGTTGAGGTAGTTTTCTTCTATCCCATTTTATTGAGAGTTTTTATCATAGATTGATGTTGAATCTTGTCAAATGCTTTTTCTGCAATAGGTCATCTCATCTATTGAGATTGTTATGTTGTTTTTATTCCTCACTTTGTTAATGTGGTGTCACATTCATTGATTTGTGGATGTTGAACCATCCCTGAGTCCATGGCATAAACCCCACTTGATCATGTTTCATGATCCTTTTAATGCATTGCTGTATTCAGTTTGTCAATATTTTGTTGAGGATTTTTGCATCTATGTTCACCACCAATATTGCCCTATAATTTTCCTTCTTTATGTTGCCCTATCTGGCCTTGGAACAGGGTGATGTTGGCCTGGTAAAATGAGTTAGGAAGTGTTCTGTCTTCAATATTTTTGGAATGGTTTGAGAAGAATAGGTGTTAAATCTTCTTTGAATGTTTGGTAGAATTCTCCAGAGAAGCCATCTGGTCCTGGGCTTTTGTTTTTTGATTAGTGTTTCAATCTCTTTACTTGTGATTGGTCTATTCAGATTCTCTATTACCTCTTGATTCAGTTTTGGGAGGTTCTGTGAGTCTAAGAATTTATCTATTTCTTCTAGATTGTCCAATTTGTTGGCATAGAGTTTTTCACAGTATTCTCTTATATCTTTAGTATTTCTGTGGTATCCTTTGGAATTTCTCCTCTTTTGTTTCTAATTTTGTTTATTTGAGCTTTCTCTCTCTTTTCTTAGTGAGTCTGGCTAAGGAGTTTTTCAGTTTTGTCTATATTCTCAGTAACAAGCTCTTAGCTGTTGATTCTTTCTACTGTTTTCTTTGGGCTATTTCATTAATTTCTGCTGTGGTTTTTCTTATTTTCCTCTTTCTGCTGACTTTTGACTTCGTTCTTCTTTTTCTACTTCTGTTAGGTGTAGTTTAAGATTGCTTATTTGAGACTTTCCTTGTTTCTTAAGGTGAT